GGGTTAGCATTGATGGACTGGCATCCCATCCAGGGGAGAGTAGTTTTTGTAATACTCCTAGTTCTTTCATGCTTTGAAAACTGCGATTAGCTTTGGCTGGATGTGCTACTTGGCTCAAGTGTAGACTTACCCTCTCTGATGATGATTTCTGCTTTTGACTTCTGGAGTTACTGGATTAGAGGTCACTTCCAACAATTGTTGAGATTCCAGTGAAATAAACTATCACAAGGTAGTTGGAATCTTAATGTTTAATAGAACGAAGAACTTACAGTGCAAGCGAATCCTAGCACGAGGTAAGACTAACGTGATTGGCTAACAAGAGTCACATGGCAACAAGCGATTGCGTGACAATAACGTTACACAATAACAGTGCTTACCAGGACTTCCCTCACTTGAACAATCACACTGCATAAACAACAACAAGTTTTTTGTTTGTTTGTTTGTTTGTTTGTTTTTTTTTTTCTGTAGATGTTTGCCAGAGGTTTGTACAAGATGAAGAGATTCTTCTTCTAGCTGTTGGAGGCATTCAAAACCTGGTTCGAGCTTCTTATGTGAACCGCTGTCGCCTGGCGGACAGTAATGGCTTGATTGTACTGAGTCACATTTATTGTGCTTCGGAGAGTGAGGCAGTGAAGACCAGATGCCTTCATGCTCTCAGGAACTTAGTAGGAAATTATATGTAAGTAACTTGCAGTGTGTTATTAGCCAGAATATGAGCCTTCCCTCACAGCACAGAGAGTCAATTCTGGCCGTTAAGTCACAATTGGTTTTCATTTACCGTTTGATTGGTTTAGGGCATGGGGAGAGTTTTAGGCCAATCACTAAATAAGGTAAAGCAAAATCAAAGCAATCCAACACTCCATTAAGAGGTACTTTGAAAATTGCATAATCATATGGAAGCGCATGCTTAGACTGATGGAAGGGTTTCACAGGAAAATGAGGGATAGCTGTAAATTGCTGCCAGCATAGAACAGTAAACCATGAGCCGACAGAAGTAATGTGAACTGCACACATATCCAGCTTGACAATAGTCGTTCTTCTTTTTCCACAGCACAAGTCTTGAGGACTGTGATTTGGGGGTTATAAAAACTTTTCAAACCTTTGATCTCAGCAGCATAGTTGACGAGGTAATGAGAGTCCAGGTTCTGGGAGAAGTGGTGGTCCAACGGTCAGTGCGTTGGACTCAGGGTCGAGAGAAGTCTGGGTTTGAGAACTGGCGGGGTCATTGTGTTACTCTCACAGTGCCTCTTTCCATCTCGGAGATCAAATGGGTACGAGCTCTCATGAAAGCACAACAAAATGTTGAGGGAGGGGTGGGTAACATGGGATAGACCGGCACCCACCGAGGATGGGTCTATGTTTTTTCCTGTCTACGACCGAGGCACCTTGTGGGTCACTCGACTCGTGTGACATTGAAATTTTTGGTTAAGAGTGATTAAGACCTGTGTCATTAACGACTTTTTGTGCGCGCGTTGCAATTCTGTTCTCCTTATTTATTCTATTCTCTATTCTCCTTATTTGTCGACAGGGAAAAAAGTTTTCCTTGGCTATACCGGATGATGAAGGACCACGTAATAGAAGATGTCGAAGAAGAAGACGAAGGTAGCTTACTGTTGCGCTTTAGAAAAGCTGTAACTTTGAGTAAACTTGATCATTTTTTATATGAAAGTAGACACTCAGGCAGGTAATCTTGTGCTCCTGAAACCAGAGACTGAGTTTACCCTAAAGCAATTTTCAATGGAGTTTCGAATGTAATCAAGGATTGCTTTGGTTCTGTTTTTCTTCGCTGTGCGATTGGTTCAGAAAACTCGTGCTAATCCTCTTGACCAATCAGATTCAAGACTGAAACAAATTGCGACGCGTTCACCCGCGTTTTCCCGCGCTTCAAACAGTTTGCTTGTTTTGCTTTGTGTTCTCATTGGTTCCCCGTGATATTTTCTTTGTTCTAATTAGCTGTTGTGGTATGTTTAGCTGTTGTGTTTTGATGCTCAATAAAGGTGTGCTCTTGAGCAAGAAATCTTCACTGCAATACTGCAATACTTGCAATACTGTTCGGCAATAAATCTATTTTACGTAAGAAATGAAAACGCTTGCATTTTACAGGTTACGTCGCGGCGAGGTTGAGCCTAAACCTACCCCAGTGGCGCTGTCTCCTGACAGTCTTAAACGCAGTTCAACCGGAGAATCAGAAGGATTCTCAGATTATGACAACAGTACCAGCTATGAAGATACCGATGGGGACACCGATGGAGAAAAACTGGTGACTAGCCAGCAAGTCACATCCTCCGGTGATAATGTAGGTAGCCTTGCTATGCGATTTATGGAGAAAAATCTTGTCAGATTAAGTTAAGAGACAGATGAATTTAGCTAGGCCTAAAAAGCGTAGCTCTAGATAGACGGTAAATTTTGGAGACGCGCTGGTCTTTGTTAATACGCATAATTGCATGGCAAGTCTCAGTTGTTTGATACTGCATGCTAGAGTGTGGAAGAAGCTATGGTCCCACGGTTAGCGCGCTGGACTCTTAAGTCGGGTGGTCCGGGTTCGAGACCATCTGGCCGCAGCGTTTTGATGTGTTCATAACCCACCAAAACCTCTCTCCACCTAAACCTGCATTAATAGTGCTCTAACAATGACTGTAAACCCTTTGCAGACAGATGTTGATAAAGAAAAGTATTATATTCAAGGTTATCATGTACCGTTTAGCGAAGATGACTTACATGATATCAGGTAATAAGTTAATTTGCCTCTTTTTCCTCCTGCAACGTTGATATCCGTAAAACACGAGTTTTAATTTTTTTTTTTAATTTTTTTTTTTTTACTTATTTTGATTGCCAGGCCTCAGACCAACATAAACAATGTCTCCATAAGGCCAGTTGCAAGGTGAGTGCTCACAAAAGGAATACAGTTAACTGAGTGCCTTTGAGTGCAATGCGATCGTGTTGCGTGATATCGCGTGGTAGCAGTGTTATGTGAAGTACCAAATAACAGCAGTGGAAATATTTAAGCCATGGTGAAGTAGAGGGTTGTTCCCTAGGCATTGAGTTAAACGACAACAAACATATGAAACATATGTGTGAACTGCGGTTATGAGACGTATATGAGAACGATCCTTCGCAGTAAAGCACTATTTGAGCAATAGTGAAAATCAGACCTGAAAAAAATTTCAGGCCTGTACGGGATTCGAACCACTGACCTCTGCGATACTAGTGCAGCGCTCTACCAATTGAGCTAACAAGCCAACTGGGAGCAGGCCATCAAATTAATTAATTTTTTCTTGCTCTTTCCAATATAGATCCTTGTGTGCGTTTTTAAACAGCGACAGGTGTGGAACAGTTTACCTTGGAATTCGGAAAGATGGGATTGTAGCTGGCTTGAGAATTAACAGAAAACAGGTACGCATGCTTGAGAGTATCATTTTGACTCACAAAGTACACGAGGAAAAATTAACCTCTTCAAACACATCTTTTTCTTCCCTCCAATGGTTTGTTAATATTATTTCTCACATTGAGCCCTGAAGCGGCTTTTTACGCGATGAAACCTCCAAAGTAAGTTAATACTTTGTTTATAAAACCTCTTACTTTCGTGTTTGCGAGCCCCCTTTCTGAGTTTGGTACGCCCAGTGGTTACAATTCAAGCTTGCGCTAAGCCAAATGAGTGCTTTCAACAGTTTGTATTGTTTCGCAGCGTGATCAGTTACGTCTCGGTGTCGATGATATTATGGATCGCGTCCACCCGTCTGTCAAACATCATAGTTACCAAGTGGACTTTGTACCCGTGGTGAGACAGCGAGGCAGTGACAGGTAAGATTGAAGGAAAAGTGTAATTAACGAAGGGTGTAACTTTTACCTTCGCAATTTAAAACTAGTGTTAGTCATGGATTAGTAAATTGCGTTGAATCTAACTTAGGAGGGGATATTTTTGTCTCGGCTACTGCTAGTAGGGGTAGCAAAATCTGGTGTATGATTAAACCCGCGAACATCGAATGGTGGCGTTGCTCACAGTTTCCTCTTTTGCTTGTCTCTTAGGCCCAGTTCAAGGGCACAAGTTGAGGATCGCTTTGTGGTGGAGATAAAAATTGTGAATTGCCCCGGTTTGATATACACGACTCCCACCGGAAAGTAAGAGTCTGCTTAGTTACTTATTTTGTATCTTGTGCTTATGAACGTGATGAGATGACTTTTCCCGCGCTTTGCATCTGTTGCAAGTGTTCGAGCACCTGACTCTTCACTTACTTTACCTTTTTCCCGCGCTTTCCTTGAGTTTATGCTTTTCCGTGCTTGATGCTAGTAAAAAGTTTCCCGCGCTTCAAACTGGCTACACGCAACCGGCGCAAGAATTTTCGCCAATGTCGCATTGACGATTACGATTCATCTTTTTACAGGTGTTTCTTCCGTCAGAAGAATAGAAACGAAGAGGTATTATCAAGAATGCTATAAGTAATTCTTGTAAAATGCATAAGTAATTCATAGAAAATAGTGCCGTTTCCCCGTAAGCTCTTGTTCTTTTATGTAATAACGATCTTTCGCTTGAGTGTTGGGAAGACTTTTTGACGAACTGTACTGATTGTAGTGTAACATGCGAACGCTTTGAACTCGCAATAGCGGAATCTGATACTGGGCCGCTAGGTTGGTAATTCATTTTACTTGGAAACGTTTCCACTTTTATTGCAGTTCATTCAAGGACTGGTTAATATCTTTAGTTATCTCTACCAATCAAATGTAACAGCGCAAGTCATTAAAACTAGGTCACTGCGATTTTCCCGCCTTTGGAGCTGATTAAGTCATTTGCCTCAGTTCGTGAAGGGTCAAATTGCCAACTGCGATACTCTTATTTTGAGTTTTTAGCGAAGGTTGATGATCCAGTATCTTTAAACCAAAACTAAAATGATCACAAAGGAAATTGGGAAGAAAGGCGAATGTTGCAAGGAGCAAATAACAGCTCAAAGTAAAATCAAGGAAACACGAGTGACCAGGCCGAGATTGATATGAGTGTTGTAGCTTAGAGGGAAGTGCAGGTATTCTGCATTTCTATCCAATTTCAATTAAAAATTGAAAATTGCTATGAGTTTCACCGGCTGAAAAACAACAACTGAAGTAACTAACTTCCACAGTACTGATTTTCTACCGGGACTAAGTAGCTTGTGCTTTTACAGTTTACAACACAAGAAGTCAGAGAGAGAACAATCAAAGAACAAGAGGATCTGTTTAACAGTGAAATGCAGAGGTTAGTCACACCATTACCTTATCTGTCTGTTTCCTGGCGTCACATTGTACAGCATAGAAGTAAACCCATTGAATTCGACTGAAATTTCGATGTTGCCAAACTCTTTACCTTCATCAAGGTAATTTGGTTTTTGTCAACTGACTTGATAACATACATTAGCCACGGTAAATAATTTTTTCAAATCTGACGTTTCGATCACCAAATAGAAGGCTTTCGAATGAAGCGATCTTAGCACGCACAGAAAGTGTGTTTTATCTGATTCCGATTCCCATAGGGCTTCATATTCCAACCAGAACAAATCTTTTATTCCTCGTAAAAAGAATTATTACAATAGAATGATAAGAAAAATTATTTATAATTGACAAGAAATCTTTTAAAAAGCAAAGGTATTACTGGAGCCTAGAGGATATTGGAACCGTGAGGTTTTCGATGTGGCCCTCTACCCTCCCACATCCCACAAAAGCTTTGGCTCCCACCAGGGTTTCAGAGTCCTACGGGGAAGTCCGATTCCCACGGAAGACGCCGATTCCTTAAATGATTCAGATCACCATGGGTGATTCATTTTCACACGGGGAATTCAGATTCCCACGAGAGATACGGATTCACGCCTTTTAAACCATCTTTTATCAAACTATTTCCTTTTCTCTTTTCCACTTCTCGCTAGTTTGCGCATGGAATTGGAAGAAATGAAGAGGAAACTCAATGAAAAGGCAGGTTTGACTGATAACACACCGCTCAATTCGCCCCATCAAGACACTTAGTCTAACATCGCTACACAGAGGAGAGACGGTCTCCGTCAACGGAATCAAAAACGTTTCAAGAATTCGAGGAACTGCAGAGAATTCTTCAAATTTTTTGGACGAGCCAACACAGGAAGAATTACAGGCTGCGAACTGTGTGATATCTTGAAAAGAAAAACCAAGTAAATTCCGTTCTTTTTTGTGTGACAATGCATGAACGTACACGACAGTTACATAATTATTACCTTGATTGGGTCAGTCTCAGTCTCTGAGCAACTACACACCCACCCCTCCCCTAACCCAACACTAGCCCCAACTTGTTCTCACTTGACTTTTATTGGGTTAGGGGAGTAGTGGGTGCGCAGATATTGACATAAATCCCTTTGTTTTGCGGTGTAAACAGTTTGGTTCGTGAAAGAGTTAAGGTTATTTTTAAAACTAACAGCCCAACCCGTAAGCATTTTTGTAATTTGTTTGTTTGTTTTTTTTTAAAATATATCCGCCACGTCTTCATATGAATTTATTTTTTGAAAAACTACAGATATAATCTTGAGATTTCATAATTGTATTTTAGGACCAATCCCTTTCTGCTGCACGCCAATTGTTATATCGAAACCTTTGTGGTTTACTTAATGCGTGTGTTTGTTCATTTTTTATTTGAATTATATTATCTGTTTTATTGACAAAGAAGAATTCCTTTCCATAACTCTTGTAAGCTGTGCCACCCGTCCCCTCCCCCCTCTCCTTTTCCCCTTCCCCTCCCCCTTCATCTCGGCTCGAACCGGCTCCTCGTCAACACTAGAAATAAGAGTTCACATTTTTTCCTCACCCCCCTTCACACATACAAGTTTCGACGGCTTGTACGAAATGCAAATGGAGGTAATTATTTCCGTCAAAAAGTTAGGTCCTAGCAAGTGGTACTCTCTGACTAGGAAAGTAATTAAAATATTTCTTGTTTGAAATGTGGGGATGCGAGCTACTGTGAAACCTGCTTATGGTACACTAAGAAGAGGCCCAACCCAAGGCTCGTCCTCAGACTTTCCCCGCTATTCTTGCATTTCAGTTACACTTACACGGTAGGATCTGGGTACGAGCTCAGCCGAACCCTGCACCCTGTTAGAGGGACTGGTTTGATAGTTAAACAAATTCTCTTCAGCAGCACCTTAGGAAATGTATAGAGAACAGTATGGAGAAAATGCACTGATGTTGGTCACGTGACGTATTGTTTCTGTGTGCCTTCGCAAACTTTAATTAGATGATAGAAAGAAAAAGAAAACAGGAAAGGACCTGCATGGTAAAACAAGTAAAACTGCAAAACTTGATTTGAAAAGTTGTCTTTTTTTTATTCATTTTTCCGAGGAGGTTTGGCAGATGTAATCAATTGAGTTATGTGGAGGTAAAAATGACAGAAGACAAGACATGGCACTTTTTTTCATTACGGAATATTTAACAATTATTCCACGAGCGCGCGTTGGATATGAGATGATAGATAACCAACGAGGCGCGTAGCGCCGAGTTAGCTATAATCATCTCATATCCAACAAGCGGGAGTGGAATAATTGTTTTATTAAAAACGTTAATTTAAATTATTAAATTTTTTGAAATTTTTAGCTCCCTTTTAATTTTGAGCTGACACGTACGCTTACCATATTTGTGGATTATGGTATATTGGCTGATATACCATAATGGCTAAGCCAATAAAAAGTCTTGAATTGCATTATCCAATAATCCAGTTTTTAATAATATAACATAACCAAACTAAAGCGCGCGCTCCGATTGGTCAGTTTAGCGTCCCCCATTTGCCCATGGGTGTACGCTGCTGACGTGAGCAAATGCAAAGACTATTTTTCCGCGCGCGCTTGTTTTTTTCTGGTCGCGTAAGATTTGTTAAACTCTTTAGCTAAAATGTATCAATGTTATGTTATAAAACAAATGGTAAACACCACAGCGTACACTATTGAGTTATGGATGCACTTGGGAGGTTTGCTAAGCACTCAAGAAGCTAGAGTCGCTCTCGGCTATCGCCTCGAGCGACTCTTACGCTTCTTTCGTGCTTAGCAACCTCCCGCGTGCATCCATAACTCAATAGTGTACGCTGTGGTGTTTACCATTTGTTAATTGTAAGTATCGACGTTTATTCAAGCTAGTTTTCGGATTTTACAGACTTACAACAAAGCAAGGACAACATGGCAACTTTACTTGTCCATTACCAATGTGTGAAGCTATTCATTTCAGTCCTGAAAAATCAACAATTGAAACAGCACGAGACGAAGAAAATGTGCTGAACACATGGTCAACTGCGGCAAAGTTTCCTTTAAGTTATGAATATCTTGTTTTTCGACGAATTAATTGAAACTTCCCCTGTCTATGCAAACCTTGGCCATACGGAAGGTTCTTGTCTCTCTATTCTTTTTGCAGAACACAAATTGGCAATTCTGCGGCTGCTTTGATTACCTACGACAGTTCAAAGTGATGAGTTTGTCGATGGGCGATGTAATAACTTTCAGTATAAAAGCATTAGCCCAAAACAAAGCAAGTCTTGAAAAGAAATTGAAACTGAAGTGATAACTACTAAGAAACCACTGACAGTATGTTTAGAATATGAAAAGTAAAACAAGAAGTGCAAATTTGCTTGCCTACTGTTGATTTGAATTTAATCTCAAACAACAACACGAAGTGTCCTTTGTTGTCACGTCTTTCGAAACTTTCATTTTTCTGTCGCACCTTAATTCTTGCCTAAATTCAGATTTTAAAACATTTACATCTTGTAGCAAAATATTACACCGAGGTGCATACCCTTTATGTCCAATTCAAAGCGAGTTTGGAATTAGGTCCATGAGTGAGTTGTTTTTCAAGACGCCTCAACTCGGTATGCTTTCCATTTTCTGTAGCTGTCAACGGTTGCGTCGAAACGAAGAAAAGACGAATTACAAGATTTAAACTCTAAAAATTACGCCAACTGACAGAAAATGTTAAAGCCGGTTTTCAGTTGTAAAATCATTGGTCAAAAAAACTAATAAGTTGTTTGTTCAAATACAGGTGCTCCTTTGTTGTCTTCATAAATTTCCCCTCTTCGCAGGTTAAATTTTGACGAAATGAGTGATCCTTCCGGAGTAATTTATACTAATTTTCGTTCACTGTTCTAAGTGCAAATGTCTTTATCAGTAGGTATATCCTAACAATGACTTTTAACTCCTCGAGTTCCTCGCCATTTTTGAAAATAGTTAAGTTGTGATATCATTTTCAATATTTATGTTCAAGATGTTGGTAGAAGAAAAAAAGGAATAAATTGCCAGCAACTGCAAGCGGTTAGATTTTCCCGTTTTACATGCGCATTCAGTGAAATTGTGGAATATATTCAGCGCCGAAACAGTGTCCTCTTTGTTGCTATTGCATATAAATTAAAATCAAAAAATTTTAGAAATGAATACGCTACAAAAAAACGTCGGTAGACAAATTAAAGGAAACACGACTCTTTCTTACCAAAGACGGTGTGTAATCGTTATCAGACTTTCGGCGCTTGTGTCCAAAAGATATCTTCTTGCGTCGCTTAGCTTCGTGTTACAATTTGATGCTATGATACTTCTCTGATTTTTTAATCAATGTATTTTATTTCTTTCGATCGTTGTGATCACTTTTTACGAGTATAAATGTACTAAAGAACTTAGGGTTTAGTTTTATTTTCGTACACAAAACACTTTTGGCAAAAAATTGAGATAAATTGTCTTTTGCAATGGCCGCCAAAATCAAGCATGTATTCTTATTTTGACATCTTTCAGACACGGTTTGTACCCTAATAATCCCAACGTTATGCTGAATAGAAACCGAAATTTGGAGTTTAATTTGTAAAAGAATATAAAATGCTGTCACCCTTGGCGAAATAACGAGAAGTTTATTTTACTTGTATGCATATTAGACCGCACGGATGGAAAATTGGTGGATGAGTTTTTATCCAAGGTCTGTATCACTTTATGGAGGAGCGTTTTGTCGAAATGTAAAAATCGACGTCTGTTGCTAGATGTGAACAGAAGTTCTTCGCGCGTAAACGTTTCAATTTAGACTAATTATACAAGAAAGTTATTGACGCTTCTGAGTTAAGAATTTCAGGAGGTTATTAGGCGAATAAAAAAACATCATAATGAACTACTTTTTCTGTTTTATTTTTGCCTCTTGTTAAAACACATGCTGGTGAAGTAAATTTTGTCGACGGGTTTTAATTTTTTCCTACTGGGGGCATTGTTGAGATGGCCAATCAGACTTATACAGAAGATTTGACTTACATTTGCATAAAACGCAGCGGTGAGGTGAGAGTCTGTGTAAACTCGATTGATTGCCGCACATAAAAAGATACGATGAAGGTCCGCCACGAGCTGGTAATTTGCGGTAAAAGTGGTCGATAAAAGGGTGACAAAAACCATAAAAAACCATGAAGAAAAATGGAGCAACGGCGAGAGTGACGCCTGCATTTGTGAAATGGAGCGATGAAACTGAAAATAACATTAACGGGCTTGAAACTAGCAAAGGACGAAGGAAATCTCGCTCAGAGGAAGGAGAAAATTCAGGAACTCCTACTTCCTTTAAAACGATAAACACAAGAACTTACGATTGGGATAGAACTATTTCTGAAACGAAGATCAGTACGTCAAATGTTAAGGTTGCTTTCGCTAAAGATAGCAGCTCTTACAACAACACGCAGTCGAGTAAAATGCGCATGATTTTGGCATCAGTTGGCAAATTGATGTGTTTGCCTTCTTGTTTCAGAGTACAATTCTCGTCTCGCCAACTGGAAGAGATTTACCAACGTTACTACTGCCGGCAGAAGCTGGACAGGATTTTGTATATAATTTTACTGGATTTTGTGGTCAATTTGTGTTTAATCACGATGTATTCGGTGGTTTTTACCAAATCGAACCGGACACAAGTGAATCGAATCATAGTCACTTCTACCTTCTGCGCGCTTAACCTCTCGTTCATCATTCTACATTTTTTGAAGCTGTTTCCCGCTCGAGTTTTTAAATTCCTGCCCTATATTGTATGGTTCACAGTGTTCTTCCAGTTACAAGTGGATTTGGCCATAGGTTATTATCCTCTTGTGCCAAGCGATTCCGTTGGGATGTTCCTCTTTTTTATGTTTATAACAAATGTTATGCTACCCGCCAGTTTACCTCTGTGTGCTGCCATGTCGCTCCTGGTTGCTGTGGGACATATTACCATAACCAGTATTCGTGCTACACAAAATCGAGAGTATTTTGGAAGGCAGGTAGGTAAATATAAGTTTATAACTAGTGGAGTTTTAAAAAAATCTCCGTAAGCGAAGAACACCTATTATTTATGGCAAATTTATATTCGTCATGTAGAAACAACCTAACGGATCGCATAGAAAGTGAACGATAAAAGTAAATTTGCAGTACCCCATCTGAAAAGCTTGCAAGGTTTCGCTAATTACAGACTATTAAGATCTTCCGTTGTCTTATTTTGTTGTTTTGATGTCGAAAATTGCACCATACCCGTATATTTGAACCACGCGTACTGTCGCTTGTTTTTAGCGCAGATAAATGTCAAAACGTTTAAATTGCCGGTCTTCTGCGAAAGATGCAACAATACTGAGAACCTTCCATCGCCACCTGGTTTTCTTTTCATGTTTTTATCCCTAGCTTAGTATTAGCTTAGTTGGAAATTTTTCTTTAAAATTGCTGCTCTTTTCAGTTCTTGCCGACCCAAATGCACAACTTTTCGTAACAAGGCAGAGCAGAACATTTTCAACTTTTGCGTGGTTCAGCCCAGCACGCACAGAACGTTAGCCGCTAAAGTCATTTTTCAAGATCGTATTCTCTCGATATTGAAGCGCTACTATATTTACAATGGAAAATCTTCATATTAGTATGGAAACATCTCCTTAGGTACAAATAAGCGAAACGTGCCTCATTAAATGGTATAAACCATACTCGTTCCTTCGCAACGATTTTGCAAAATTTTAATTTTTCAAAATTTAACCCTTGTTTATCGCTCAGTTTTGCTACAGTGACTGGACTTATTTCCGACCAAAATTTTTGTCATTGTATTAAATGCCCAACTTTCAAACAGTAGACTGAAGAAGGAAATGAAAACAAAAATTTTCTAGTTTTGCGAGCTGGCAGTAAAACCTTCGTTAACTGAAAACCTCAGATAGATTGTCTTTTAATTTCAAATGCTATACCAAATTCAATCGTAAGCTTGAATTTTAATGGAGAGTAAGACCTTGAAAACCTATTTTGTCAGAGCGAACAAAGATTTACTGGTGGCGTAACATATTCAGTTCATCATTTCGGGTTTAATTTATATCTTGCTTAGCAACACAAAATAATTAAACTCTATGTGGAACACAGTACTGGAAACATCATACTATCAACATTGGCCAGTTTTTAGCTATCTCTTAAAGAAGACGTCGACACAATTTTTTTGATGGTGAAAAGCTTTATAGCTTACAACTTTGCTAACCTAATAAAATATTATCCCACATTTGGCGCTATAATGAAAGTGCTGTGCAATAGGTTCTGTTTACTAAAGTCTCTCAGGCATAATGACTTTGAGACTTATAATCTCGTCACATGGTGGACCGAATGCGTCACTCGCAGTGGAAAGCCAATAGCAGTCTTCATGAAAAATTTATCACCAGCGATGTAATTTGAGTAATGAATTGTTTCGTCAAAGAGGACACAATCTCTAAAAGCTTCCTTTAAGACAAGCCTGAAATCCACTAACGCAACGATGTCAAAGTTTGGCTTTCAATAGGCTTATTTACTAACATGGTTTTAATAGATTGTATCTAACATCTCCAAGTGACATCTAAATTTCGTACAATTTCGCTTTTAATTGAAAATAATTCGTCTTTTAGTTATCATAATTTTCCATTCAAAAATAACAGAATCTAGGGAAAACATTATGACTTTTATGATCGCAGCTGGAAACAATAAACTTATTTTTGTTTGTAGATTAACAATAGGGGTTCCCGTTAAGATGATAACGGCTTGGATGTTTTCGGTATCTCCACGGGTTTGAAATTTGATATGATACAAACTGATGCACGCAACTGAAAATCAGAATCTGAGCGTCTGCACCGAAATTTGAACATATAAAAATTGCCCGAATCTCTGCGATTTGCAATTATGTGACAATCTACGGTTATTTTTCTTCCGATCTCAATCGTCTTTTCCCTTAAACATATCGCTTTCAATGTGCCTTAAAATGTAGCGAATAAATGGCAGAAAAACAGTTGCGATTAGCTTATTTTTGGCGGTCACATGAGCTGATTTTGCAGAAAAAACAAGTTTCTCCAATCGTAACAAATCGCTTTTTGTCGCGCAAAATATGTCGAAACCCGTAGTCGATTTGGCCAAAAAACTGAACATTTTATCAAGGCCTGGAAAAAACATTTCCTTTTAAATTACCCAACCTTGTTTGACTTTCTAATGAAAGACGGGTAATCGCTGACTGAAACTTTCCCAACGTGTGTCTTGAAGATAAAGAGTTTCAAAGGAAGTGAAATCTAAACTCCTGCTGTTTAACAAATACCAGCAGTAATACTTTGATGATAATAAGTGACACCATCGATTATACTTTTAAAGTGGAAACGAAAGTAAAAATAAGGAAATTACTCAGAAAAATATTAGAACTTTTTCAAATACGGTAGTCGATTTAAGATACACAAAAACTTTGGCTTTGACAGTGTCAAGTAATAGCCTTGAAGTGTCTATTTTGATAAATAGGCGGGTGACATATTTGTGTGGACGAGCAGGGCTGTCCAAAGTTGACAGATTGCAAAGAAAGAGGCATGATTACTCTCGCAGTTTAATAATCAAGCTTAAAGGATGATTTTCAATATTTTTGGGATTGTAATGTCTTTAACGGATAGCTGCAGATATTAACAAAGAAGACTTCCAACTGCACTTACAAAGGAAAACTACGTAGAATGTAAAGTGATAAGTAATTTCTTTGCCAAGTGTCTTTGACAATTTATTCCGTCTAGCAAAGTTCTTCCTTGACAATTGAGTTTTTCTCCTTGATTAAAATCTGTCAAGCTGTTGGATCAAATTATTTATCAGAGAAATACTTGTCATATTTGACATTTTTGTTGCCAAGAAAAGCTGCCCAACACAAACTTTACCAGAAATTCTTTCCATTGTAAATTTACAGACTTTTTAAGTTAGAGCAAACTTTTCCACTTTTTTTGTTCTACCAACAGATGGGGGCGAACATTTTGTTGTTCGTCTGCAGCAATATTATTGGTGCTATAGATTTTTATATCGCTGACAAAAGACAAAGAAGATCTGTTCTGGAAACCAGGCAGTCATTAGAAGTGAAAATCGCCTTAGAATCGGAAAATCGACAACAGGTAGGTTACATCGGAAACTACTGGTCACCATCGCTACTTAGCAACCGCCAGTTAATGGGTGGAGCTGTGGAGTAATATTCTGTGTCGTGTTTCTCAGAGATAAAAAATTATCTTTCAAGTAGGGAGGCCGTTATGATATATTTAAGTTAGAAAAACACCAAAACATGCAGAATGAATAAAAGAAAAATGATGATGATTCAGAATAGAGAAGGTTGGCGCCGTTTGCAAACAAACAAAACTTAAAAAACTTTGGGATATATTTTGCAGGACTAAAAACTTCTGACCCAGCCTCTCTCATATATGCATTTCTACTTTGGTTTCGCAGAATTTCTCACTTACTTTAGAAGGAAACTCTGCACATGCTGGTTCTGCAGACTTGGACTGTATATTTTCGGTTAACTTGACTTTATTCTTCACAATCCAACATTACACGTTCTGTCCTACAACCTATCTCAATCCCATCTTTTTTGAGTTACAAAAATGCTATGTTTTATAAGCTACGGACATACACATCCAGATACGTAAGTCCGGAGTGGTCAGATAATTTAAGCTAACTTGACAAAGTTCCAGTTTTGTTTTACACATTCTTCAAAGATTCGTGGCCACGAATCTCCTGTTACATCGGCTTGCTTGAAAATCATAGTGTTAGTCTATGCATGCAGTTTTACTAACGACTATTTGATTAAATACATCTCTGTTTTTGAAGGCTCGATTACACGACGCCGGTCAATACTTCCTTTGACATTCCATAATTCCATGTTGGTGACCAGAAATAATAACTGATTTAATCAACTACTAAATATACCAAAACAGGAAAACCTTATTATGAGCACGTGCAAACTTTTCGCGACATTTCTGTTGGAAACCGTACGATACATTTGTTAGTCTTAATCTTATTTTATTTTTTTTTTATCTCGTAGAGGCGATTACTTCACTCTGTCCTTCCGAAACATGTGGCCACAGAAATGGTAAATGACCTTGAACATGATGGGACATTTTTGAAAGATGGAGCATTTAACAAACTGTTTCTCAAACGCCATCAGGAGTGCAGGTAGTTATGCTTTTAAGACGCGCTGATAGACAAAAAAAAGTTTTTTTAGATTCTCCATTCTCCTAGGGAAAATGTTGAGCGAAGGTTGATTAACGTCGCAAAACAAAAAACACCAGAGTAATCATCAGAGTCAAACAGTGCAAAGGATTATATCACAAGGAGCCAATGAGATCGTGAAGTGAAAACAAGCAAACTGCGTAAGCGCGGGAAAACGTGGGTGGCTGCGGCAAGGTTGTCTTTTGTGTTGAATCTGATTGGTTAAGAGGATGACGTGCGTTTTCTCGACCGATCAAATGAACTTTCTTCTTCAATAGCATTTCCTCTCACGCACTTCGCATTTGAAAATTTCTCTCTTCGCAAAATCTCTTGTTCAAGTTTTGTATAAGGAAACCTTTAGTGAAAAAAAAATTTAAAAATTGATAATAATAATAATAATAATAATAATAATAATAATAATAATGGAACACATCTATTAAATTCGGTTCTCTAGGATCAGACTCGTATCAGACCCAAACTAACTTTGATAACAAAAACGACCTACATATAAAAATCGCGAAAGCAACTACCAGTTCGTATTGAAAGAATTTCAAAAAACGTGTATCAAAATTTTCCTTATAAAAGTAAATTACACTAAAAAATATATGAGAACGGAAATGACACTCTTATTCTAAAAAACTGTAATAATAATAATAATAATAATAATAATAATAGTCATAGCTTCTCCACCTATACTGCCTAAAAAATAACACAGGAAAAACCTTCAAAGAGAACTGGAAAGAAAACTTTAAAACTCAGTTCAGTTGAGGGTAACCTTTTCTTTTTTCTTTTTCTTTTTTACTTCAGTATCCTCTTTGCTGACATCGTTGGGTTCACGGAACTTTCCTCTAAATGTACAGCAGAAGAGTTAATTATCACACTCAACGAATTGTTTGCTAACTTCGACAAGATTGGGACAGTAAGTTCTTGTTTAATTCCGCGCATTACTTAACCTCCTAAATCCCAGAAGTGATTAACTTGTAGCTTCTCTATATAACATCCATACCTTATCCGGCAAACAAGTGGTAAGAATACACAGACTTATTAGGTAGAAGTTATTATCTCAATCTAACATCAAATCGTCGTTACTAATTTACAACGAAACGTGTAGCAGCTACACAGAAGAATTGACAATGGCTGATAGCGCGTAACAGGCTTGGTTGGAGAGCGTACGTGAGGCTAATGTTGCTCGCAGCTACGCCTCCAGCAACTCTTATGCATCCGCAGTTCGCTTGCTTCATGTCTCGATTGACGCACTTGACGTATGGAAAAGCTGTCAATTGATCAGATGGTTGAACAGCGAGATAAGTGATTATGTAGTTTAAAAGGGAAAGCTGTTAGGGAGAATGAGTGATGTTCCAAAAACTGATCCGAAGTCACAATTAAAGTAAAGTGATGAAGTTTTTTGTCGCGTTTGTCCACCCACGTGAATTTGCATTGATGATTAAACGTTGACTAACCGTTGTCATATCTCCACTTCCGCGTTTTTTTCAAGGCGTTCTGGTGCGTTTTTTTCAAGGCGTTCTGGTGCGTTTTTTCAAGGCGTTCTTCCGCGTTTTTTTTCAAGGCGTTCTGGTGCGTTTTTTTTCAAGGCGTTCTTCCGCGTTTTTTTTCAAGGCGTTCTTCCGCGTTTTTTTTCAAGGCGTTCTTCCGCGCTTTTTTTCAAGGCGTTCTTCCGCGTTTTTTTCAAGGCGTTTCTGGTGCGTTTAACGCAAGTCACAAGCACTCGAGTTTAAAGAAAAGTTAAACAGCTTTTAAGTTTTATGCGGTTTTTGCATAAAAAAGACGCGTGGTATTTCTTTTTACGCAGCAGTGGAAACTGCTTACGTATGTTTTCTTTACACACGTTTTACGTACAGAAAAACTTAATCTGGTGACGCACTTGGCGATTTTATTCGCCGATGAAGGCGAATTTGATCGCCGGCGAAAATCGTCGATATCTGACACGCCAGATATCTGCATTTTTATACGCCGATTGCTGCAATCAGCTCAAATCGCCAATTGTGTCGCCGACTTAACGCGGCAGATGTTGCTTCGCACAAACTCTTTTGATTGGTCAGTTTGCCTTCCCTATTTATTGGCTAAGAGATCTCCCAGCTAATTTCGCCTTACCGGTACTTTGGAATTGATTGTGTTATCGTGTCTTCATTGTTCTTGATATTTCGATATTTATTCTGTTTTTTTTTTTTTTTCGCGCAGAAAAACAGCTGTCAACGAATTAAAATTCTTGGAGATTGTTACTATTGCATCGCGGGCCTGGATGACAACAAAAAGCATGCGCAATGTGCTGTTGAAATGGGACGTGACATGATAAGTCACATTGCGTGAGTAACTATGGAAACAAAAACAATACAAATGTCTTTTCATTGTAACGCCGTCTTTGTGATATATCTTTTAACGTACAGCGAATGATATATTTTATTCTGTTCTGCAGTAAGGTCAGGCGGCAAACCGGCGTGAAAACTCTGGACATGCGCGTCGGAGTCCATACAGGATCTGTGCTCGCTGGAGTCCTGGGAAAGATCAAGTGGCAGTTTGATGCTTGGTCAAATGACGTCACATTGGCTAACAGCATGGAATCCGGAGGAATACCCGGGTTGGTATAGCAAAAGTATTATTATTTTGTGCGGGTGTTGGTGGGATCGTGCAGTTATGCGAGACCACTCGAGCGATCGTGCGAGTTCTCGCGGGTTCACTCGAGTATAGCATAACATGATGAGGTGATTGTTTATCCATGTAATTCCAGTGAGGTTAGGAACTCGTTTTCAGATACGTGTGCAAGGTCAAGCTGGAATTTGGTGGGTTAATTCTTGCGGATAGAGGAAACTCGGAGAAGCTGGAAGAAAATCTGAGCAGAGACGCGAAACAAGAAGAAACTTGACTTTAATGTTCCGCTCTCGAACCCAGACGGAGACAATAGCTCTCGCCTTCCGTTCTCTACTACCTCCCAACTTTTGCCATCACCTTCTGATGGCATTTATAACCACGCCTCGTTTCTTCACGGCCGTTATAAATTTATTTGGCTTTGATCTCAAAGTGTGACATGGATCAGAGACCTAGAGGTGTTTTTTTCAAGTATGCGGACCGTGAACTGGCACTTTCAGTGACAATAACAAACATATTAGGTTGTTTTATTCGCATAAGCTATCATTTCCTCCGAACAGAGATGAAGGGGATCGTATGCTACTCAGGCCCTTTACCCAGCCACACCCTCATTAGGATGTTGTGCCCTTTATGAGCGTTTTCTCTCTGTTTACTATTCACAGTCGTGTTCACATATCAGAGTCCACATACAACTGCGTTAAACTGGATTACGATGTCGAGCCGGGTGAGGGTCACACTAGAAACGACTTCATTAAAGAACAAGGAGTTAAAACGTTCTTGATTGTGAGAAGAAAAAGTGAAGACGGGAATAAACCAGCATCATCCCAAAGCCAGGTGAGTTTTTTTTATTTTTTTATTTCATAGCAGTTTTGAATTGAGTTTCGTTAGTAATGCGGGATTACTTTGTTTTGTTTTACTTCGCTTCGGGATTTGTCAATAGAACTCGCTCCATTTTCTCAACCAATCAGAGTCAAAGTAAAACCAATCGCGGTCCAGGGAGTTTGGAGGTTTTTTTCTTTGAGTTCTCATTGGTTGCTCTTGACAACTTCCATTCATCTAATTGGACGATGGGATTACTCTGGGTTTGGATTTACGTCACTTAGCCAAAAAGCGCCATAGAGTTAAAGAAAGGAAGTATATCTGTCTGATACAAATAGATGAAATAGTAAGGCAACTGGAAAGACCTCAATTCTATTGAATCAGGTTGTTATGGTCCATACAGAATAAGATATAACAAACACTTCACCGTAGAAAACCTTTGTGCTAATTTTGAAAAAACGCCAAAATGTATTTTGTTGTTCCTTTGTCAGGAAAGCGTGGACGCTATGTGGCTGACTGACCCTTCTTCAAAAGAAAAAAGACGAACCTCGTCACCAATAGTGGAGCTTATAACGGGAGATAAAGAACATATCATTAACAGAAAAGAGATGGAGTTCAGAAGAGTTTCTCTTTTTGATGTGAGCAAATAGATCATTTAGATAGCTTGCAGCTATCTAAATAACTGATTTTTGGTCTTTTCCTCGTCATCAGAGACATGTATCTCCTCTCTCGTTTATAAACTTTAAAACTAGTCTTTAAATAATATTATTAAAACTGATAAAAGAAGAGAATATGAGATCCTGTGAGTTATAACTTGAGTCCTTAAGTGACGACCAGGTAAAAGGGTCATCTATACTTAGCACCAATTTGTACCTCTGGTGCAGTTGGCACGTTTTCCCACCTTTGGTGCATGCTGCATGTTTTCTCGCTCTTAGCGCGAGCTGCATGTTTTCCCGCTCTTCGTGCAGGCTGCATATTTTCCCGCTCTTGGTGCAGGCTGAACGTATTCCCGCTCCTGACTCGGATGGCATTTTTTCAGCTCTTAATTCGTTCGCCAGGTTTCTTTCCTGTTTGCTGATTGGTTAATGCTGGTTGTCTTTTTTTACTTTCCTTGTGATTGGTCAGATCAAAACTTTTCCTTTCGTTGTAAATTCTGGACGAAATGGTGTTTGAAATTATTTTTTTCTTCATTTTAGGAGGAAGAGTCGGAAAAGTCAGACTCCTCTACTACAACAAGGTCGCTGATCTCTAAAAAATATTTTCTCTGTGTGTGTGTGTTTTTCCCTCAAAATTTAGAATATCGGCAACTCTTAAGATTATGCTTCATTGTGTTTCAGTTTTTTTTAATGTTTTTTGCCGCCAAAATATTTCTTTTCCTTGACACGTTCTTCCTTATTTATTATTTCAGTGAAAAAAATCTAAACATACTGCTGTCAGACGTTCTTGACGATCGAGCAGGAGGGTATGAAGTTTGAAATAAATAGATAAATACACGAGAAAACGAGATGGATTAAACTAGCTGCGTTGATTTATAGATTTTCATTTCGTTTTTGCAGTCTTCTGCTGTAAGTAATTTTCGTTTCTTTTTATTTTCTTCAGCGTCAAGGAGAAGATGAATCCTTTTACTTTGCGATTTCTGGAAAGTGATTGTGAGTTTCAGGTAAAAACAAAATTATGGCTTTCTTATTTGAAGGATTCCGTGGAAGAAAATCCGGATCAGTATCACAACGTGAACAACTGCACACCCACCCCTCCCCTTACCCAACAGCAGTCTGTAGTATCTATGATGTAATCGTGTACGGCCGAAAGGAATTAAGGGAATTAAAAAGCACACAACACGAACAAATTGTATTGAAGAATTTAAATAATGGCGAATGAGAGTCACATTGATTAACGTAATTGTTAACTGCAACTACCTCTCGTTTTAACTTTCTGAGTTACCTTTTGTGAAGGATTATTAGATAAAAAGATGTTTTCAGGCAGTGAGTCAATCTTTTTAAAAACAAATTTAGTACTACAAAAATTAGAAATTAATTTTTGCGGGAAAAAACCAGTGATTTGAGAGCGACAGAGGAGAAAGAATTCATGTTATTCATCGTCAAAAGGTCGTGACCGAATTTTTTCCTGACAAATTTTGCCCAGCCGGCAAAATGAGATATATTTGTGAAAAATTGCAATGAAGCTTGTGATATTCTGCAAAGTGACTCAAGCGAAACGGGTACCGCCCGCTGTGAGCGTGCCGGATGGGAGAATACTGCCCGCTCTCCGAACCATCAGATCGCAGAATTTGTAGAATACCGCCCGCTCACGAGCTGAGAAAAAAAAAAATAAAAATGGATACTGGCCTGATGACAGGCTGGCGGTTAACTTGAAGCATCCCATCCAGGAGGAGTTGTAATACTCCTAGTCGCTTTAAGCTAAGGAAACTGAGGAAAAGCTCCAAATGAGGGAGCCACTTAGCCTGGTACAGACTTTACTTTCCGGCTTATTCGTTGGCACTCAAACACCAGAAATTCCATATTTCAGCTACATTACTCAACAGACACTAATATATTGAACCATTAGGTTTATTTTGCATGTTTCGGCCGAGCACCAGCGTACAATAATGAAGAAACACATACTCAAAACCATTGCATTTTCGGTAATTGTTATCAAAGCACGCGACAAAAAGACATACCGAGAGTTTAGCAACCACTAACAAACATCGTGGTTAGAACGGTGGCCAGAAAAAACCTGCTGTAAAAAACCCCGTAGGGAAAAAGAGACAGGAAATCTGGGTAGGAACCATGCACAAGCTCACGTAACCTTCCTACTAGGCTATATGCATACTTGCAAAAAATAAATAAGTAAATAAACTTAGCAATAGCTGAGAAGGTGTCGGCCTAGAATGATTGCCCACGTGCAATCACAAGCTTTAATACTCGTATCACTATACCCATAATGCATCTATACTCAAGGGCCAAGGCCTTTGTCCTGTTGCTCTCGTGCCGCAGAAATATTTAATTCTTGCATCTGTTTAAAAAACAAACAAACAAAGGAAATTCAAAGGAGAATTTAGGATTTCATCTTGGTTAATCGTGGTCTTTTCCCATAAACCCCTTGGGTCTGATTTTTTAAACAAACTTTGCCCGTTGTTTAACAAAAATTGGGTCCTAAACAGTCCTAAAATTAGCTCTACCTTTTTTCTGAACATTTATGGTTGTCTGGAGGACCGACAGCTAACAGTGGAAGGACTTGTCGTTTTATTCAATCAGCGCTCTTATAGGGAAATCCTGAGGCCCCTCGGATTGCGTAAAACCTTGGTTTGGGCTAGACCTCGTGAAAGTAACTGGCCCTTATTTTTGGTTTTACTTTTAAGACAAAACCGCAATGCTCGATCTAACATCTGGGTAGCATTGTGTCATTTTGTTATTTTTTTCCGATTTTTTTTTTTATAGTATACTCTGGAGAAACAGGAGATGAGTGGAGAGTCACTGTTTTGCCTCTGCATTGTAATCGTCTTCTGTTTCTTTGTAGAACTCGCAATTTTACCAAGGTGAGTAAGGGGGTATTACGGGTAATGAAAGTGAAGAGTGGGGACTAGAAATTAGAAAAAGAAGAGATTATATTTACGCCCATGTGTCACGAACCACAATCGGGGAAGTTGGAGGTTTGTCCTTTGCAGTCAGCTGTCTTTTTCCATTTTTAGGGAGGGAAGTGCCCTGCCGAAAGTCATTCCAAAATCTTTTTGTCTACCTGTCGTCTTTGAGATCTGGTGGAAATTTGGAGTCTCTCGAAATTTGTTGCAAGCATTCGAAAGAAAAATTAGGATCACTTAAGCAAGATCTTTTTCGAAGTGTTTTACTATAATTTCATCTCACACAGATCTTTACGAAACTATTTGACGTTTTCCTTGGGATTTCTGTTCCTGGCTATTCCTACGGTAATAACAGCTGCTGTCAGTTTCCCAAAGGTGAGAGATAACTTTCTGCTGCTTATTTTAATCCTTCATTGTTTGGCACAAGTTTTAGATAAAATAAGGAGCTAATAAAACAAGTACTTGGCCCAGTTCACCGATAGTGGGAGACGCAATGGCCTGAAGGATAATGCGCTGGACTCCGACCGTCTCCGAAAGTCCAGGTTTGGGGGAGGTAGGTAGGGGGTGCAGAGGGCGTAGCCTCCCGAACAAAAATTTGTAGCATCGCGATTGTTTGGCGAAATAATATGTTGTTAAACTTCTTTTGAACAGCTCTGGCCTGTCAATGAGAAGCTTATCAACGACACACTCGAAACTGTAAAGTTTGAAAAGAAGTTTGCTCGCGCCGACGAACGACGCAAAGGGGCATTTTGGAAAATTTGAGTAGGAGTATGCGCATGGCATGGTTAAAGATAAGCTTCCCAATGTTTCAAAACGCTCCGCCGCCTCTGTTCGAGACCTGACTGGGTACGAGTGAATTGTCAGGGAAGCCTGATGTTGGAGGGTAAATTTGCGATGGACTAGCATCCCATTCAGGGGGGAGTTAGTAATAATCGCTTCTTGCTATGGGAGCGGGGATAAGCTCCGGCACAATGAGCTAACTGGCTCGAGTATAGACTATTTTGCCCCTTAATTCTCCTTGGCTCAGTTCGCAGAGGAATTAACTGCGAAATCATACCTGTTTGGGCTTTGAATCTACCAGCCGGGTTCTTAGATTTTTTCTGTGTCCAACACATTCGTTAAATGTTTACTTCCACAGAAAAAATTATTTTCAAATAAAGACCTTCTTCATTAAAGAATTTACCTATTTGTGTAATTTTTTTTTCCAGTGTTTTCCCCGGTTTCTAGTAGACCTCTCAAAGATCCTCGATGGTAGTAAACCAGCTCGAACACTTATCGCTGCTTTAAGCGTATCCGTATTGGCTGGAACAGAATTGATTGACATGGTAAGCTCTCGTCAATCTCGTACCCAGGTCGAATATTATGGGATTGACATTGTCCGTGCGAGGACTGGGTAGGGGGACAAGCTACAGTACATGCCATTCTGGGACGAAACTAAAAATTTGTACCCATTATTTCTACATCCCCGAATTGGTTTTTTAAAACCATGAAAAATTAGTACTGCGGTTAAACGTCTGGCAAGGGAATCAATCTTGGCTGCCGGTCCAAAAAGGGGAAAATGAAAACTCGTGGCTTTCTGGCTTGGCTGATTGTTTGTATCTGGCAGGTGTGAAAACTTAGCTCTGACAGCCTGAAAGCACGCTACCTAATCATTACAACGTTAGCACATGCGTTGAAGTTTGACCGCAATGAAAAAGCAGAGAACAGACTGGTAACTAACTCATTAATGTTTCTCATGTCCTCCGCAGCTTGCTTGTACAGCAACGAAACTGGACGAAACAAAGGATGAGCTGAGAATCAACAGATCAGAGTATCTTAATCCTTCAAGTCCGTCATGTGAATATCCTCAGGTACGTGCTTGCACAAAGTTCAGGAATACACCGAATCGAAATATGGTGTCCAATCTGAATTGGAATTTTTCTGGACTTACTAGCCTCTCGTACATGTGATAATCCTTTCTGTGTTTCCACGTAGAGACGCCATATTTCGAGATTCCGTATATTGGAAAGTTAACCCTCTCCTCACCCCAATCTTTCAAGTGACACGTTGTCTCTCTCAGTTCTTTGCCCATCGAAGGACTGGAACGAGGAGATGGCTGAAACTTCAGATCCGACCAGATCTGCTTCCATTGCCGCACTTAAGAAGCGTAAGACCTTAAGAATTGTTGCAGGTGGCTATCACTAACCACTCCCAATTTCCACTACGAAGTAAAGGAGTTTATCAAGTTATGCATTTTGAAACAAAAATATTTTCCTATCGTCGATCAAACCCTTCCACGCATTTTTTTGTCGACTAGAAAAGAGTCACCTCAAAACCGAAATAAATGTAAAAATTCAAAGACCTCTGCGCAGTCACTCTCACTGATTTTAAAGTTATCATATTGTTATTTTTCCCCCCAATAAATGTTGTCTGACGTTATCTTTTGTTGACTCTTGTTTGTTCCCAGTATTTTTCCTACAATGGTATCCTGATTCTAGTGGGGATCTCGGTTCTAGTCCAACTTAGCCATTCACTAAAGTTTTTATTGACACTGGGTGTCTTACTCGCCTATTGCATCATCAACATCTTTACTAAACAGGAGATTTACGATAACTATGACGCCTATGTGCACCCTGTCAATACGTAAGTTTCTACTTTGATTGTTAGTGTACACAGTAGGTTGAAACAAGAACGGATGGGTGGGGAGGGCGGGGAGCGGGGATATCTTGCTGGACGGATGCAGGTTACGGTTGGGGATAGGGGGAGAAGGAGATAGTGTGATGGGGCTAACAGGGATCAGGGATGGCTTATAGAAATAGGGATAGTGTATGGTGGATAGGACATAGGATACAAGGGTGGAGACTAAGAGAATAGGGGTTAGGTATTATGGTGCGCAGGAAGCAGAAACAGCGAGGGATAGACTGGGAATTGGGAACTTTATCCTGGAGGGATTCAGTCTAAGGCTGGGATAAGGGGATGGGGGATAGGAGGTAGGGAAAGGGAAATTAAGGGTTAGGGATTGAGAATAGGAGACAAAGGACAGGGGACAGGGGACTTAGTAAAGGGTATAAGGATGCGGGACAGAGAACAGGGAATAGGCATGGGGAATAGGGGACAGGGAACAGGAATAGGGAGCAAGGGATAGGAAAAGGGGGATAGGGGATAGCGAACAGGAATAGGAGAAATTTAATAACGGATAGAGAACAATAGATAGGGGGCGGGGGGTAGGTTTACAATAGGGGAAAAAGGGTGGGGAATTGGAAGAAAGGGATGAGGGAATAGGCGCATTGGAGAAAAGGACTAAAGAAAGAGGATATGAAAAATATTTTACGCCATTATCGCCGACCCATTCCTTTATTCATCCCAGTCTCTATGATTTTATTTCTTGCTTAATCATTTTAATTCCTTTTTTATTAACTTTTCTTTCTTGATAGAAACACGTCGTTCGTTCCAAAGAAGTATTTTTCGTCTGTCATCATGGTGCTCTGTTTTTGTATCCTCGCCCTTCATAGCCGACAAGTAAGAGATGATTTGTTAATGATATATTACTTGTGTTGACTTTTCAGTGATCGAGTAGGGAGTAGAGTTGGGTGTGGTTTCCATGTAAACACGCACGTGCATATGTTAGACACACCCAGCTAATCTACAAGTTTCTCTCTCAGGCTGAACGAACTGCACGTCTGTTGTTCTTATGGAAAATGGAGGTATGCTTGTATCTGTGATTTTATTATGATAACTTCTTTGTGCCACAAATCATTTTTGCTTACAGTTAAGAAAGGAAAACTTTTTAAGTGAAAAATTGTGTTATTCATTGAATGACATAGGCATACTCGGAGAAAAAGAACTCCGAGAGCTCGAACGTACGGCTTTCCGATTAATTCTTCGGACTTTTCGGAGCGTGCATCAGAAAACTTTTTGTTTACAGCGCTAGATGTGCTTTTTGCAGGCCTTTGAAAAGAAAACAGAAGTGGAGAAAATCAGGGAAAGAAATCAAAAGTTAGTGAACAACATTTTACCTGAGCATGTGGCGGATTATTTTCTTCAACATCAGAATAAAGACGAAACGGTAGGTTGGATGTTAACGTTCAACTTTTAGTTTCTTCGCTTTGCCTAATTTTCAATTGTATGAGTATTATGGTTTATCTGTGGAACCTAGACATGGTGCAAGCTTCGCGTGATTTGCTAAGAAAACGCGGGAAACTCAAACTCTCGCGCCAGAATGTGTATAATCTTGTGCTTGTCTCTCATTGGTCGAGAATACGTACGGTGGTAAGAGAACAAATAACATGGATAGTAACAAAACAAAATGGAAGTTGAAATCAGCGCATTGTGTAGCATGTTTTATTAAAAACTGGATCATTGGATAATGCAATTCAAGACTTTTTATTGGCTTAGCCATTATGGTATATGAGCCAATATGCCATAATCTACAAATATGGTAAGCGTACGCGTCAGCTTAAAATCAAAAGGGAGCTAAAAAATCCGGTTTCTTCTTACAAAATAATAATTTCTTGGAGGCGTTTTAATAAAACAATTATTCTACTCGCACTCGTTGGATATGAGATGATTATAGCCAACTCGGTGCTACGCGCCTCGTTGGCTATCTATCATCTCATATCCAACGCGCGCTCGTGGATTAATTGTTAATTATCCTCTGTTTTGCGTGACAGGACCTATACAGCCAGTCATACAAGTACGTGACAGTAATGTTTGCTTCAATTCCAAACTTTGATGAATTTTACTCTGAAGATCAAATCAACGACGGCGGAAAGGAATGCATCAGGTTCTTGAACGAAATCATAAATGATTTTGACGAGGTATTGAAATCTTACATTAATACTAGAAACTCATGATCTATGTGCTAACATTTATTTAATATGGTTCCGAGATTTTTAAGAAATAGCATCGCTGAGACAAGGCAGCAGCCCTCCTTCCATCCGAGGGATATCCTTTACAAGCCCCTTTAGAAACACATGCAAAAAAGGGAGGCTCGAATCGATTATTGATATTAATTTAGAGTGTTTCGGTTGAGCTTCGTAAATCAGAACGGCCAATCAGAAGAAAGGAAAATATACCTAAGAGCCAATGAGAAATCAACGTAAAAACAACCAAACTCCCAAAGCGCGGGAAAATGAGCGCGACCAAGTCGTGATTCAGTTTTAGTTTTGCTCTGATTGGTTGAAAGAATGGTGCGGGTTTTCTGGACCAATCACAGAGCGAAGTTAAGCAAAACCACTGCTATCCCGGATCACTTTCGACACCCTATTGAAAATTGCTCTGTCAAGATACCAGTAGGATCTCATCGAATTTGAAATTTTATCTTTTTCATTCTTATTTACTTTTTATTTTCCAGGTTTTGTCAGAGGCTAGGTTTCGAACTATTGAGAAAATCAAAACGATCAAGAGCACGTATATGGCGGCAGCTGGACTCAAACCAGAATGTGAGGTAAAATGAGGAACACGTCCAATCAATAGCAACCACCTAAAATATCCATACTCCTCTCGGAGTCCTCCGCCTGGTCATTATTTATCATGGGGGAGGGGGGAGAGGATTCTGGTTGCCTCACATTAAAATTTTATTTGATACCCCCTCTCCCTCCCCCCACGGCTTTCTGATATTTTTACTATCTCCCCCTCATTGGTAGTCAATTTTCTATAGTCCCTCTTTATACTCTTTTAGCGACTACTGATCCCCCTCTTTTCTCCATGAAAACCATGCAACCTCCCCCCCTAAAATCCTTACACCCCCTCCAAGAAGAAATGTGGACCACTTTAAGGACTGATCAGCCTGGGGGAGTGGGGTTGAAGGATTTGGTCTAGATTTAATTCGTGACGATAAAATTTGTCTGATCCCCATAAGGCGTCTTTAATATTGTTATGATCTCCCCCTCGTTGGCAGTCAATTTTCTATATTCCCCCTTTTTGCTCTTTAGCAATGACTGATCCCCTTCAGTTCCCCCTGAAAACCATGCGATCCTCCAAAATCCCCCAACCCCTCCCTCCCTCCTGCCAGGCGATAAATAATGAACAGGTCCCTATGAGAAATTGGAAACGTGACGCAACTGAAAAGGTAAGCTTATCACTAATTTATCAAAATACGACGCGACGGCATAAACAAGATTAAGGTCTTATTTTGGTACCAGTAGTAATAGAACGAAAAAAAAGGTACCGTTGTAAACATCCGATACTTATTTTTACTCTTTCGATGTTTAGTCTCAATACAGTGAGAACTGGGAACAAGTTGTATCGGTGGTCGATTTTGCACTTGCATTGAAAGACAAACTGGATTCTATCAACGCAGAATGCTTCAATCAATTTGTCCTAAGAGTGGGTGAGTTATCGCGTTTAGTTTTTCTCTCAGTTGATTTATAGAAAGTACATAGGTCGAAAGTGGCTTTAATGGAACGAAAGTGAAGGAAGTTTAATTCTACTTATGAGATGAATGAAAACTGTCATCCGCGAAAAAAGCACCTGCGGGAAAATTCATATGATTGAAGATCATTGGTACCAATCACTAAATTAATAGCTGTCGTTCGCGTAAAGTGCGGGAAAGTTCACGTGATTGAAGATCATCAGAACTAATCACGAAATAGATAATTGTCGTCTGCAAAATGCGCGAGAAAATTTATGTGACTGAAGATCACGGGGACCAACTGCGAAAAAGACTATGTTCGTCCGCGAAAAACATGAACTGTAACGTGAATAGATGATCAAGTTATTGAGCAACAATGCCCGCTACAGTGTCTTGGAAAGCTATTTTCGGAAACTTTTTTTTTCACTTTTGTTTTCAGGAATCTGTCAAGGGCCTGTTGTAGCCGGAGTAATTGGCGCCAAAAAGCCGCACTAAGACATTTGGGGCAACACGGTTAATGTGGCCAGCAGGATGGAAAGTACTGGAAAAGCTGGTTATATGCAGGTTTGTTTTGTTTCCTATTTGAAATGTACAAAAGTAAAAGGAATATAGAAAAGGTCTCCATAGCACTAAAGAGAAATGCCGATGCCAGGAATTTGTTAGAATGTCATGGGAACCATACTTCATGTCTTATTAGGCATTGAAGACATTTTAAAGGGACGAGGGTTTGTAGGTGTTCCTCTGTGTTGTGGATGAGAAAATTGCACCTTGACAGGTTTTTTGGTTAAAGAACCGTCGTGCCAGCTATTGAGCTGAGAAACTTGATGGGAAACGCTTGTTAAAGAAAACATTTGCAAACGAGGTTGATTTGATGAGGACCATACCCAAAAAAATATTGAAATAAAGGTTTAACGGAAAAGCTTCCTCGGCAAGTTTTCATTTGCCTTGTATTTATATATTTAGGAATATTTATATAGGGTAGCCCAGTTTAGCAGTTAGCTATTTTAAATGGGGCCCTGTGAACAACCACTCATCCCACCCCAGGGGGAGGACATCCACCACACAGTAATCTCGTGCGTAGGAAATTAACGTCTCCTACTTCTAACCCTGCAGGAGACTGGGCCTACGGTTTATTCGTCCTTATCCGAGAAGACTAGAATATCTATCCATTTCTTGATATTATAGAAAGGTAGCAAATTCTCTTCAGTTATTTTAAGACCATGAGTATTGGTCCGGCTTGGGCTCGAACCCTCGACCTCCCGCACAACACAATCCGGCGCTCTTACCAATTGAGCTAACCGGGGAGTGGTTTCAAATGTCGTTTACGTGTTTTTTTTTTTTTTCTGAAAATGCATATACCAAAACATTTTTCATGACAAATGCGCTCGTATAACCTGCAAGTGGGCTCTAAATAACGCTGAGGCTTGAGCGGCGAAGCCGAAAACTCGTGCAGATCTCTCACGCACACACATCGCTCGCCGCCTCGAAAGGCGCGAGCACGTTTCAAAGCCTGCTCACAGGCTACACTGACGTGGCAGCTTCACTGATTTAGAGGAACTTGCTGTCTTTTTTCGCAGGTCACAGAGCAGACGTACGACATTCTAAAGGACAAGGGCTTCAAATTCATCTACCGCGGACCTGTAAAAGTCAAAGGAAAAGGAAGGCTGGTTACGTATTATCTCACTGGAAGAGAGGCTAAGGCAAAGAGAGTGTACCTTGACTTGCCAAATACGGTGGCAATTTAACGTGCCTTTTGAGGCTGCGTGCTTAATGTCGCGTCTGGTCTCGTACTCAGACCTTGCGCGGCCAAGCAGTTGTATTTCAGTTCCAGTTACAGTTCTGGCCCAGTTTGTTCGAAGAGCGGATAACCCTATCCAACGGATAAATCCCTATCCAGCGAATAAGTGATAGAGAAATGTACTGCACTATCCACCGGATAGAGATTTATCCAGCGGATAGCGTCATGCGCCCTTCGAACAAACGGGGCCTGATAAGGACTGCGAATAGTCCTGAAAAATTTTGGCGTTTAAGTAAAACCCGTTAGGGGGCTGTGACATTCGATCTTTGAGCTGTAGTTTGAATTTCTTTGCAAGTAAGATCTCTGAGGAGGGTACGAGGGATGGAGGGGGCTGAAACCTCCCTTGCACAAAGAGCATTTTTACTCTCCCCAGACTTCTCGTGCCAAGTGAACGAAGCTGATGACTCAGTGGTCGAAAATGAAAAATTAACTCTATGTTTTTAAAAAATTGGTTGCCAGGAATTCATCCGCTGCATACTGTAGAAATATAAATATCAACAAGAGTTGAATAGAAGCTCACAGGATCAGACGTAGCCGACTGGTTTATTAATGAATACTATTTTGTAAAAAATGGGTTTTTATCTCCGGATTTGAATTTGTATAATATGTATGTAATAAACCAATATTTGCCGTTACATAAAGTGTACGTAGAGCCACTGACCGGAATCAGCTGGCGTTCCTAATGAAGGTCATTAAAACTTTGTGAATTTGAGATGTGTAATCCTCTCTATCCGTTAGAGAACAGAACAGAAGCGAAGCCACAATTGCGGTTTACGGCGCAAGCCTTAGTGTCTGTTTATTTTATATGCATAAATATCACTTCAGCCGGAAATTTTGGGAACCAAATCTGAAATGCAAATATTAGAGATGTAACGAGTGTAAAAAAAGAAGGGTGGAGCAAAAATATTTGATCATTAATTATTTGGTTTTAAAAATTTTAGAACAAACTTTTAAATAGCGGAAAAGGCAGGCAGTTCACCAAAATCCAGAATCAGCTGAACTAGACAATCCACAGGTGCTGTGGCCAACAAAATAGTAGCTTAGGGGGGGAAGGTTGTTGGTTTTCTGTTGGAGCTTGTGTCTCCCCTCCTCCCTATTACAACTTGGCATTTTCTCAAATGAGATTAAGACACCTTATTTGGGAAAGATTTCATCAAACGGTGGATCCTTGCCTTAAGCTTTAAATACCGGGGT